GTCCTTAGAGAGGGACATCATGCTTGGGAGGGTGGAGGGACAGCGCAGGAGGGGAAGGCCCTCTATGAGGTGAATTGATTCAGTGACTGGGATAATTGGGATGGGAGTGTCGGAGACAGTGCCATTGGCACAGGACAGAGCGGAGTTTTGGGCTGTTGTACATAGGGTCACTATGCGTCACAGGCGACTTTACGGCACATAACAACAACAACAACAACATTATTAATTAATGTGTCATGAAATTGATTTTCTCTCTCTATAAAGTGTTTCTTGGGTAGGAACCAAGGAGACAGTTATCAGGGTCGCCTACTTGGGAAAGTGCTACTTACAACAGCTCAGCACACATGGCACACTTATTGCCATGTGTTCTCCCATCAGGACCAAGAACAGGATCGCTTTCCCGTGTGCATCCAAGTCTTCCATCTTTCACATAGGGCCGAAAAGCACTACACACGTCCTGAAAAGAAGGGAAGGGAATTACCCTTCTTGTAACACTTGTAGTTCTATGTTATCAGAAACTTCAAACTCAAGTCCCTTTGCCTGATGACCTCTACCCCCAGGGCAGTGCCAGCTGTATAATAGTAACTCAGCCACTACTGTACCACGCATACAATGAAGGGTGGAGTGCACTCACTCAGTTCTTTTATAAATTTCTAGGATCAATTATAATCAGCATTGGGAAAGGTACAGGTCTTATCCTCAGGTTTCTCAGTCAAACAGCATCATAGGTAAAAAATACTTAAAATTGTGCATTGTGCTAAATGTTCTGACAGAGAGAATGGTGGGCATTGAAGGAGCACACAAGAATAAAGGGACATCATGTCTTGTATTAGGGGGAGCATCCAGCTGGAGAAAGCCGAGTGTAACAGAATCACTGAATTTTAACACCTAAAAAGATATGTGTACCAAATCACAGATGTGGGTTTGTAAACACTGGTTAAGAAGCTTCATAAGAACTCTTAACTGCTGCAACTGTAATTCAGGTTAAACTGCTGGGGTTTAGGGCACTTTCTAGTACACATCTTGATTTTTTCTTTGCCTTTTTTTTTTTTAACTAGAAATTAGAAATAGAGTGGAAAGTTTTAACTACAAAAGTATCCTGCTCCAGTTTTAGGAGGCAATGCTTGTTTGTTTACATAAACAAGCAATATCCCATTTCAAAAGAAGCAAATCTGGGTTTCTTGCAAACAGCCCACTCACAAGGAAGAAAGATGGATTTTATTTGCTCTTTGAAATCAGCCCACCCGTGTCCGCCACAGCCCTTACCTCCTCAGGATCATTCTTCTCACATTCTCCTTCACTCTGTATGTCGATTTGTGATCTGCTCTTTCTGGAATCAAATGTTAGTAGACATACCAACTTAGTGTCACAGAACTTCCCCTCATTCAGTTCTAATTTCTTCACTTCAGTGTGATTCTAATTTGCTCCTGAAAACAACTACAAAAGAAAACTAATGGGAAGATCTATACTCATTGTCTAATAAGAAGAATTAAACCAACATTTAGAGGACATAAATCGTCTCCTGGCCCAGAGAGTTAGAGAATTAATCCTGGAATTCTACAAATTAGAATGTGTAGTGTTAGAAATTAAAATAAACCTGAATGCCGTCCATACAGGAATATTTTTGTGTTCTCTACTTTGTGATAACTGTTGGAGAGAGTTGAGGGTATAATTTTAGCATCTGTTTCTCAAAAAAGGGCCTTGTATGGTATCAAAAGAATCTAATTCAGATTTACTTTGGTAATAATATTTATTAAAAGGTGGGACAAAGCTTGCTGGAAATTTGACAAATTAATAGTACCATATGATTTACTAAACTTCTAGACTAATGGTTGCTATATTTGCAAAAACTGAAGAACAGACAACTCAAGATTGAGGTCACAGGGAGAACCTGCAAAGCAGGTCTGCAAGATTGTTGGTACCGAGGGTGGAGAAGGAACAGAATGGGAACAGAGTATAGGACAGGAATATACTTGAGATATTTGGCAAAGATTGGATAGTTTGAGAGAAGTTCAAGATTAAATGTCCAATTGTTTATGGAAATATCATAACTCACTGTACACTTTTTCAGTATCAATTCATAATTATCCCATTCTCTGTGAGAAAGAATATGTTGATAAATAGGCATTCTGATAGATAGATAGATGTGTACGTGTTCACATGAGTGTGTGGGAGTGAGAATACGTGTGTCTGCCCTAATCCTATTGACTTCCTGTAAATAGTGGCTAAGTGCCTACACATTTTCATTAAGATATGTTTTCTAAAACATATAATTTTAGATGAAAGTGAATATAGAGATATCTATTTCCATGCACATAAAACTTTATAAATGTATGTAAAATTTTAATTATATAATACACATACAACTTTTTCTATTATATATATATATATATATGGTTGTTGTTGTGTGCCATCAAGTTGTTTATGACTAACAGCAACCCTATGTCCAACAGCTCTGAACCCTGCTCTACCCAATGCCAGCCATATTGTCTCTGACACATCTACCCTCATGTGAAAGACTATATATAGTATGACTTTGTATATTATATATATGAGATTATGTTTATGTTTATATAAATCTGAAGCCAAAGGAACTAAAGAACAAATTCAAGCCTCGAGTTGCAATTTTTAAGGATACTATAGGTAGAATATTGAATGATCTAGGAAATACTAGAGAAGATGAAAACAGTATTCAGAGATACTGTACCAAAAAGAATTTACTGACACAGAGGAATTTCAAAATATAACATATGATCAAAAGGCAATGGTGATGAAGGAGGAAGTTCAGGCTGCTCTGAAGGACTTGGCAAAATTGATGGAATAACAATTGACATATTTCAACAAACAGATGCTGCCCTGGATGTGCTCAGCAGGTTGTGCCAAGAAATATGAAGCACAACTAACTACCTGGCTAAGTGCCTGGAAGAGATCCATATTTATTCCAATTCCAAAAATTGCTGACTCAAGAGAGTGGGACTTATCATAAAATAACACGAATATCACACACTAGCAAATTTCTGCTGAAGATTATCCAGAAACAACTGGAACAGTTATAACATTGACAGAGAATTGCCAGAAATAGAAGCTGGATTTAGAAGAGACTGTGGCTCTAGAGACATTTTTGCCAATGTCAAATGGATTTTGGCAGAAAGTAAAGAGAACCAGAGGGATATATATCTGTGTTTCGTTGAAAAGGCAAAGGCATTTGATTGTGTGGATCACAACAAATTGTGGCTAACCTTGAGGAGAGTGGGAATCCCAGAACAGTTGATTGTGCTTATATGAAACCTAGACTTGGACAAGGAAGCAGTACTCAGGACAAAGCAAGGAAACATTGCATGGTTCAAAATCAGGAAAGGAGTGCATCAGGGGTTATCCAATCTATATGCAGAACAGATCATCTGGGAGGCTGGCCTTTATAAAGAGGAATGTGGCATAAGGATTAGAGGAAGACTCATAAGAACCTATGTTATGCAGATGACACAACTTTGCTTGCTGAAACTGAGGAGGACCTGGAGCACTTGCTGCAATGGTCAATGACTATGGTCTAGAATATGGATTGAAGCACAACATCAAGAAGACAAAGATTCTCACCACTGGACCAATTGGTAGCACCATGATAAAGAAAAGATTGATGTCAACAGTCAAGCTTACTCAGTTCCACAGTTAACCCTCTTGACATCAGCAGTTAGAAAATAAAAAGATGAATTGCATTAGGTAAATCCACTGTCAGAGACCTTTCCATAGTACTGAGAAGCAACAATGTCAGTGTAGATGCTATGGTGCACCTGATCTAGGCTATGGTGTTTACAATTACTTGCTAAGTATCAAAAAGTTGGATAATGACTAAGGATGATAGAAGAATTGGTGCTTTTGAATTGTTGTGTTGGAGAAGAGTCTTAAATCTACCATGGACTGCTAAGAAAACAAAGTTGAAACCAAGTTTCTCTTTGGCATCTAGGATTCTGAACCTTTAACTCACATACTTGGGCATGTGGTCAGGACAGAGCACTCCTTGGACAATATCATGCTTGGAAAGGTGGAGAGACAGCACAGGAGAGAAAGATTCCAGATGAGATTAATTGATACAGTAACTAGGGTAATGGGGGTTAGTGTGTCAGAATCAGGCAGGCTTAAGAGCTGCTATATATAGGGTCACTAAGAGTTGCAGGTCGCTCGATGAGACAAAACAGCAAATATGAGGTGGATTGATTCAGTGACTGGGGTAATTGGGATGTGTGTGTTGGAGACAGTGAGATTGGCACAGGACAGAGCAGAATTTAGGGTTGTTGTACATAGGGTCTCTATGAGTCACAAGCTACTCGACGGCACATAACAACAACAGTAACATATGCTTGATACAGGAAAGGGTTCAGAGCTGCTGTACATAGGGTCATTATACATTGCAAGTGACTCAAGGATGACTCAGTGGCCTATACAATAATAACATACTATGACAGATTCATCCTGGAAAGGGTTAAATGGGGTGGCTCCTTGGAGGCAAGGATTCTGAGGCTCCGTCTGACATACTTTGGACATGTTGTGAGGAGAGACCGGTCCTTGGAGAAGGACATCATGCTTGGGAGGGTGGAAGGACAGCGCAGGAGGGGAAGACCCTCTATGAGGTGGATTGATTCAGTGACTGGGATAATCGAGATGGGAGTGTCAGAAACAGTGTGATTCACACAGGACAGAGCAGAGTTTAGGGCTGTTGTACATAGGGTCGCTATGAGTCCCAAGTGACTTGACGGAACATAACAACAACAACATGACAGATTTGGCTCCACAGGTAAACACTCTTGGCACTAGCAGTTAGGAAATTAAAAGACGTATTGCCATGGGAAAGTCTGCTGTTAGGGACCTCTCCAGGGTACTGAAGAGCAATGGTGTCACTCTGGAGACTAAGGTGTGTCTGATACAGGCCACAGTCTTTGCAATCACTTGTTATGCATCAGAGAGTTGGACAATGACTAGGGAGAATAGAAGGAGAATTGATGCCTTTGAGCTGTGGTGCTGGAGAAGAGTATTGAATGTACTATGGACTGCTAAGAAAACAAACAGATTCATGCTGGAGAGGGTTAAACCAGGCTGCTCCTTGGAGACAAGGATTCTGAGGTGTTGTCTGACATGCTTTGAACATATTGTAAGGAGGGACAGGTCCTTGGAGAAGGACATCATGCTTGGGAGGTTGGAGGGATGGTGCAGAAGGGAAAGACCCTCTATGAGGTGAATTGCTTCAGTGACTAGGATAATCAGGATGGGTGTGTTGGAGGCAGTGTGATTGGCACAGGACAGAGCAGGGTTTTGGTCTGTTGTACTTAGGGTCACTATGAGTCGCAAGTGACTCAATGGCACACAACAACAACACAACAGGTGTAGAAGTAGGTGTGGCATCCACTTCCTAAATAACATACCTCCAGAAACTATAATCTCTAATAACTATCAATTGTTGTAGAGGGGCTTCAAGCTTTTTTTTTTGTTGTTCATAGGGTCGCTGTGAGTTGTGCTGGACTTGAAGACAATCAAGAACATATACATATACATATACATATGTATATCCATCTCTCTCTAAAATTTATATTTATTTATTGATTAGAAGCTGCACTATTTTCCGAAATGTACACGGTTTCAGTCCACTATGAGTCGCAAGTGATTCAATGACACATACAACATATATATATATATTTATATATTGGTTAGAAGCTGCACTGCAATACCAAATGTGTATCATTTGAATCCACCACTGGCTCCTTTGGAGAAGGATGAGCACAGTGCCATTAAGTATACTTCTCTTCATTGTATATCTTTAGAGGAGAAGGTTTTCTTTCTATATTCTCATCTGGAGCAGCTGGTGGACTTGAACTGCTGGCCTTTCAGTCATCATTGCACAGTGCACCATACCATCAGAATTCATTCCCACCCCTCACTCCTCCTCTCTCCCTTTCTCTTATAAAGTTATAGTGACAGTTTGTTGTTATTCTTAGGGACAACTAATATTCACAAAATGAATTTTAATCCTCTCGAAGGATTATGGCAGCTTGGAATATGTCATTATATAGAGACTGTATTTTAGTAAAGAATCTGCTTCCCAGAATACTCACGCATTCTCTGCACACAGGGCACATCTGTTGCTATATGTTTTCCCATCTGTGCCACAAACAGCTGCATTATCAAGACTACAGATTAAATCCCCATCTCTTTCTCCTCTCTTGAAATCCTCGCAGTTCAGCTACAAGGGAAATGAACAAGAAATTTAAAAAAATTGTAAGAAACAAAACACATCTCAGAAACATAAGTAAGTCATCATTTTAAGTCTGTGACTGTATAAAAAAGAAAAATACTTTAAGGAGAAAATAATGGATTTGTAAAACAAATAATGAAACAAAGCCCAAAGCAAAGAGGATAAACATTCTTTCCTCACTGATGTATCTTATTATTCAATAGTTCACTTTTACCAAAATAATGAAACATTTATTGCTTGACTGTTTTTAGGCATGAGCATGAAAATCTGACAGTAACAAACAGTGGGCTAGTTAGTTGCAAGGTGAGAGTAAAGCCAGGTCTGAAAGGTATCCACTTGAATAGGCAATGGGCCTCTGAGGTGTAGTGATTATGTAATGATACAATTTGACATCTATGCAATGATATAATTTGACAATTATATAATGATATAGTCATCTCCCGCTTTTTAATCTGACGTGATCATCTTTAGTTTTTTGTAATGCTTTTTGTGTGACTTGGCTTTGGAACCTAACTATGTCAATAACTGGGGAAAGTGTTTAACCAGATAGCAAAAGAAAAGATCTCAATATGATTCTGATCATAAGATCACTGATATCTAAGCCAAGTTATCCTACTTTGGTATGATGCTAGTCTGTCAAATTCTGCCTAGTTTTCCCACAGAATGTTAGTGTTACCTCTGTAAGCTACTAATCAAGAAAGTTAATAATATTATAGTCTAGAATAGTACTTAAGAGCCAGAAGTTTGGATTCATAATTTTAGCTCTTTGTTTTCAATTTAAATGTTTCCTTACAAATTGTCAAACAAAGAAAAAGAAACCTCTCTTAAAGTTATTGGAAGAAACAAATCTTCAAATATCTACTATATGAATAGGGCACAAACCTGTAAGTAAGGAAAACAACCATTCTAGAAAACAAGTAAAGACGAGAATCTCAGATTTACCACCCTCTCACTTCACTTCATCTAACCTTACTTTCCTTTTCTGTGAAACAGGAGTTCACATCCTACTTACACTATAGAAGAGAGTAGATAGATAGTCCCTAAACCCAAAGACAATTTTAATTAACCAGTTGAATTTCTGGCAATTTGAATTTATCAGTGATTTCACTACAGAAAGATGAGCAATCTCCTCTCATGCAATTTGTGTTGTTGTTATTCATCATGGAGTCACTTAGAACTCATAGTGATCAACCTCTTTGTCTCTGACACACCTACCCCGCTTACCCCAGACACTGAGTATTCTAGCTATCCACAGTCACCACAAGAGTCAAGCTGATTCTAACTCCTGGCAGCCCCATATGTGTCAGAATAGACCATGATCTATAGGAGCTTCAATGACTGATTATTCTGAAAGTAGAAGGCTAGCTTTTTTTTTTTTTACCACCTCTAAATGGATTCAAAACTATAACCTTTCTGCGAAGGATTTGTGGTTGGAAGTAAATTGCCCTTTATAGGGAATAAAAAGTGTGGCTTAGAGTACACAGAACTAACAGAAGAGCTACTGATTTCCTCCTCAAAATAATTTCCTGGGAATCTACAAAAAAGTCAGAAAATTAAGGATGGAATGTGGAGTAATTAACTTGAGTAAATGCCATTTAACTTGAGATGATCACTACCATCCCTCTTCATGAGAAAAATATCAACAGCAACATACCAGGTCACAGGTGTTAGTTAGCAGGGTAATGACAGGGCAAATAGGAAAAGCTCAGCTGGGAGATGATGACAACAGCTAAAAGTATTTGCTACTCCACCTCTTCTCACTCCAAACAGCAGGAGTTGGTGTATTACAACCTACAGAGGACACCTCCTTCTAATGCTGAGAAGGTTTGAGACCTTCAAGGTTAATTTCTGACCTGATGGAGTAGTAGCATCAGAGTGGAGTGGCCAATAGTTGTTTCAGTTTGAGCCTTCTTCATTACCCTATACTTAGACTTATCAAGAGTTTTCAGGTGTAGAACATTATGGATTATACTACTAACTGAAAGGCCAGGAGTTCAAACCCACCAGTCTCCTTAGGAAAGAATTACAGGCTTGGAAACTCAGTGAAGGTTTACAGTGAGTCATAACAGACTCAATGAAGCAAGTGAGACTTTTGGTTTATACTTACCAAGAGAGACATAGACTTCTTTTTTTTTTTACCTAAATCATTACTGAATATAGTTTACCAAGAGAAAATAATAAATATATTTATAAAAGTTTGATATTAAAACAAAAAAATCTCTGGATATCCAAAGAGGAAAACAGTATAAATAAAGATAGCAAGCTGAACTATATGTGTCAACCAAAGCAGAATTATTAGAATAGCAAAACTAACCAACCAAACAAACAATAAAATAATTTATGGAAAGTATACTACATTATGAATAAACTAGACATAGTAAAAAGAAAAAAACATTATGAAGGAAAATTTCTGTATGTGAAATAATAAAATAATATACAGAATAAAATTAAAATGAATGCAAATATGTAATGACCATGTAAACCACTAGATTGAAACTGCTCTATAGGAAGTATAAAGGGAAAGAAGAATTTTAACAAGAAATGAAAAGTGAAAGAATGTGGAGAATACAAGTAAAAGTTAAAAAAAAAAGGAAGACAAAAACATGAGAAGTAGTTGATGAAATCAGAGGGAAATGATCCTCAAAATAATCAGAGTGGGGAGGACGATTATAAGAAAAATATCAATAACAATTAAAAACTAAAGTTCTAGTCCATGACAATAAATTGTGACAGTTTGGAGGTTTCATGAAAATGAACTGAGAGCAGACTAAAGAGAAAGGGGTATAGATATCACCAACAGATATGGACATTCACAAAGATGATACGTAATTGGAAATGAAGGTACTTCACTAAGGATCGCCATAATTAAAGTGGATATACAATGTTTAATTTAATTTTTTTGTGAAGTAATTTAGCATAGGGTTCCATTGAGTTAGCTGAGTCTAACTCATGAGGACTCTGTGGATGAGAGTAGAACTATCCCACGGAGTTTTGAGGACAGTAATCTTTACCAGATACATCACCTCACCACAACTTTCTACCAGAGTGACTTGTGATAAGATTGCCAACCTATGGGTTAGCCACCTATTACCTAAATGTTGAGTCATCACATATACTACTTTTTGAATCACTGTCAAAAATAAGAAGAAAAAAATTTTTAATTTCTTTTCAGTGTTCAATTTCATTAGTTGGAAAGGAAAGTGAGAGAATCTAGCCCTAGTTATCATAAATAATAGTAAATCTAGATGGCTTAAATTTACAAATTAAAGACTACATTATATTAAATTTTTCAATCAGGAAATGTTTTGATCACAAGAGAAAAATTAAAATGAAAAGTCATGCAAATATTAAAACAATAAGAGAGGGAAATTTCTACCATAAGGAAACAACACTAGTAATATTAACAACTGGGAAAAATGCTAATTAGCCTAAAATATATCATAAGTATAGGAAACTCTGATGGCCAAGTAGGTAAAGAGTTTTATTATCAACTCAAAGGGAGTTAATTTGGATAAAAATAACAAAGAAAGATATTGTTTAGTGTATAAGGAAGAGAATAAGAAGTTAAAACTATAAAGAACTCATACACCTAATCATACTATCTTTAGATACATAAAAAAAATCACAAAAGAAAAAAAATCCAGAACATAGTGTTTATTGTGGACATGTATTATCAAATCAGACCCAATTTGTAGCTAACCCTCAAAGAGTTTTTCAGAGGCTGTAAATCACACAGGAGAAGTTTGTCAATCTTTTTCCTCAGAGCAATTGTTGGATTTGAAACATCTGCCTTTGGGTCAGTAGTGAAAATCCTTACCATTAAGCAAGTAGAGATTCCACAGAATAAAATATTATGCACTGTTGCATGAGAACAGATAGCTGACCTTTCAGTGGGATTACAGAAAGAAATCATAGAGGATATTTCCCATCTTTCTCTTGCAGAGCTGCTGGTGGATCCAAACTATCTTTTGATCAACAACTCAGCTCCTTACCATTGTTGTTGTTAGGTGCCATCAAGAGTATGACTCATAGCAACCCTGTGAGCAACAGACCTGAACCTTGTTTTATCCTGTGCCATCCTCATCATCTCTGACACACTTGAGCTCATTGATGCAGTAACTTTACTAATCCATCTTGTTGGGGTCTTCCTCTCTTTTGCTGACTCTCTATCTTTCCAAGTTTGATAAGCCTTTCCAAGGAATAGCTTTCCTAGGAACATGTCCAAAATACGAGAGAAAAGCTGTGTCATCTTTACCTCCTAGGAACACTCTGGCTTGCATTTTTCCCAAGACATATCTTTTTGTTCTTTAGCAGTCCATGGGATATTCAGAACTCTTCTCCAACACTACAAATCAAAGGCATTAATTCTTCCGTCATCCTTATTCATTGTCCATCTCTGAGACACATAGCAAGCGATAGAAAAGACCACAACCTGAGTCAGGTGCACATTAGTCTTTAAACTGACATCATAGTTCTTCAGTATTTTGGAGGGGTCTTTGACAGCAGACTTGCAAAATGCAGTTTGTCTCCTGATCTTCTGACTGCTGATACCAAGGGTGTTGATTATTCATCCATTTTCAATCTATTTTTCATTTATCATGATGTTGCTTATACATCCAGTGGTGAATGATTTTGTCTTGCTGGTGTTGAAAAGTAAACCATATTCAAGACTGTGTTCTTTGATCTTCTGCAGCAATCACTTAAAGCCCTCTCACTTTCAACAATCAACGTTGTGCCATCTGTATAATGCAGATTATTGATGAATCTTTCTATGATTCTGATGTCATAATCCTCTTCACAGAGTTCAGCTAAACAAATGATTTGTTTAGCATACAGATTGCATGGAGAAAGGGTACATCATTCAAACATGCTTCTTGACTTTAAACCGTACAGTGCTCATTTACTTTATTACGACAGCAGCTTCTTGGTCTAGGCATAGATTTTGAATGAGCACAATTAAGTGGTCTGGGATTCTGGGATTTCCATTC